CGAGCTCTGATCTCACAATGGGCGCGTTGGAGCGCAAGTACAATGAGCTGAAATGTGACGTTGACCATCGACCCGAGGTGGCATTTTGTCAGGCAACAATTGCGCTCGTCACGTGTTTCCAGCAAATCATGTACGTCCATACACGCAACCACGGGAGTTTTGGTCCAAATCCACTACAAGCTCGCTGCGGTACGACTGGCTTGAAATGATTACGCGAATCAGGTTTTTGTGCTCTGTGGAGAGCTTGCTGTCGATATACGGCAACGAGCTAGGAATGCTGGGTGATACTGAGACAGCTGTCAAAGAGCTGGGTCGAGTGCTCATTGAACTGCAGTCTATGAAATCCCCGCGCGCGACGGCGTTCCGTGTCTCCATTACTTCGGGACCATCAGGCATCGTGGTCGAGCTTCCGATCATTACACGTCGTGCGAGTGAATACCTGAGCATAGCATGCATCCAGTTCCAGGCCAGGACGCAGTATCAGGGGCCATTTTTTTGCCTCTTTTGACTCCAGAGGAGAGGATGCGCGCAAAGTTTTGTTTCAGAAGCCTATTCGGGTCGTGCCGGTGTTCTTCTTGCAGGGAATGAATGAAATGCAAACGGTGGCAAACACGGTTGGCTCCGTTGCAGAAAGAGATTAATGCTGACGAGGATAGGGACGCGCTGCCGCTGCTACCGCAGTACTTTGCACGGAAGGTTATAGGCTGGCCATGAGTGACGCGATGATTCGCTTTGTGGATGGCTTGTCGTTCGTGGTGTCGCGGACAAGACTGGACCTTGCTCACTGGCACGCTGGAGCTGTTTCGTACAGTCTGCCACGGCAAATTCACTTGTGTCGGAGTCAAGTCTGAACAACGGAAGCTAGCCGAAACCGTTGTCGCAATAACAATTACTGAAGAAGAGTTTCAAAGCATGTACGGAGGGGATGGAAAGTCCGATGCGGTTGACATAGGAGCCGATATGATGGTAGGCTGCTTGGATGACAGGTTAACGCTTGCAGTACCAAGTAGTGAATGCTGCTCATCGCCACAGGCTCCAATGTCTGATGTGTACCCGGCGAAAGCGCGGATTGCGAGTGGTGCAACAGCTAGTGGAAATGCTCCATTTCACAAACATGGAATGGTACCACGACGGTAGGAGCCTTCGCGGCGCATATGTACGGCTTCGGCTTCAAGAGCAGTGGCGTGCGCCAGATGTGTGAAGAGTTGAATAGACTTCATACGCGCCTCTTGAAAGCCGCGAAAGCGAGCTCTGATCTCACAATGGGCGCGTTGGGGCGCAAGTACAATGAGCTGAAATGTGACGTTGACCATCGACCCGAGGTGGCATTTTGTCAGGCAATAAGTGCGCTCGTCACGTGTTTCCAGCAAATCATGTACGTCCATACACGCAACCACGGGAGTTTTGGTCCAAATCCACTACAAGCTCGCTGCGGTATGACTGGCTTGAAATGATTACGCGAATCAGGTTTTTGTGCTCTGTGGAGAGCTTGCTGTCGATATACGGCAACGAGCTAGGAATGCTGGGTGATACTGAGACAGCTGTCAAAGAGCTGGGTCGAGTGCTCATTGAACTGCGGTCTATGAAATCCCCGCGCGCGACGGCGTTCCGTGTCTCCATTACTTCGGGACCATCAGGCATCGTGGTCGAGCTTCCGATCATTACACGTCGTGCGAGTGAATACCTGAGCATAGCATGCATCCAGTTCCAGGCCAGGACGCAGTATCAGGGGCCATTTTTTTGCCTCTTTTGACTCCAGAGGAGAGGATGCGCGCAAAGTTTTGTTTCAGAAGCCTATTCGGGTCGTGCCGGTGCTCTTCTTGCAGGGAATGAATGAAATGCAAACGGTGGCAAACACGGTTGGCTCCGTTGCAGAAAGAGATTAATGCTGACGAGGATAAGGACGCGCTGCCGCTGCTACCGCAGTAATTTGCACGGAATGTAATCGGCTGGCCATGAGTGACGCGATGATTCGCTTTGTGGATGGCTTGTCGTTCGTGGTGTCGCGGACAAGACTGGACCTTGCTCACTGGCACGCTGGAGCTGTTTCGTACAGTCTGCCACGGCAAATTCACTTGTGTCGGAGTCAAGTCTGAACAACGGAAGCTAGCCGAAACCGTTGTCGCAATAACAATTACTGAAGAAGAGTTTCAAAGCATGTACGGAGGGGATGGAAAGTCCGATGCGGTTGACATAGGAGCCGATATGATGGTAGGCTGCTTGGATGACAGGTTAACGCTTGCAGTACCAAGTAGTGAATGCTGCTCATCGCCACAGGCTCCAATGTATGATGTGTACCCGGCGAAAGCGCGGATTGTGAGTGGTGCAACAGCTAGTGGAAATGCTCCATTTCACAAACATGGAATGGTACCACGACGGTAGGAGCCTTCGCGGCGCATATGTACGGCTTCGGCTTCAAGAGCAGTGGCGTGCGCCAGATGTGTGAAGAGTTGAATAGACTTCATACGCGCCTCTTGAAAGCCGCGAAAGCGAGCTCTGATCTCACAATGGGCGCGTTGGAGCGCAAGCACAATGAGCTGAAATGTGACGTTGACCATCGACCCGAGGTGGCATTTTGTCAGGCAATAAGTGCGCTCGTCACGTGTTTCCAGCAAATCATGTACGTCCATACACGCAACCACGGGAGTTTTGGTCCAAATCCACTACAAGCTCGCTGCGGTATGACTGGCTTGAAATGATTACGCGAATCAGGTTTTTGTGCTCTGTGGAGAGCTTGCTGTCGATATACGGCAACGAGCTAGGAATGCTGGGTGATACTGAGACAGCTGTCAAAGAGCTGGGTCGAGTGCTCATTGAACTGCGGTCTATGAAATCCCCGCGCGCGACGGCGTTCCGTGTCTCCATTACTTCGGGACCATCAGGCATCGTGGTCGAGCTTCCGATCATTACACGTCGTGCGAGTGAATACCTGAGCATAGCATGCATCCAGTTCCAGGCCAGGACGCAGTATCAGGGGCCATTTTTTTGCCTCTTTTGACTCCAGAGGAGAGGATGCGCGCAAAGTTTTGTTTCAGAAGCCTATTCGGGTCGTGCCGGTGCTCTTCTTGCAGGGAATGAATGAAATGCAAACGGTGGCAAACACGGTTGGCTCCGTTGCAGAAAGAGATTAATGCTGACGAGGATAGGGACGCGCTGCCGCTGCTACCGCAGTACTTTGCACGGAAGGTTATAGGCTGGCCATGAGTGACGCGATGATTCGCTTTGTGGATGGCTTGTCGTTCGTGGTGTCGCGGACAAGACTGGACCTTGCTCACTGGCACGCTGGAGCTGTTTCGTACAGTCTGCCACGGCAAATTCACTTGTGTCGGAGTCAAGTCTGAACAACGGAAGCTAGCCGAAACCGTTGTCGCAATAACAATTACTGAAGAAGAGTTTCAAAGCATGTACGGAGGGGATGGAAAGTCCGATGCGGTTGACATAGGAGCCGATATGATGGTAGGCTGCTTGGATGACAGGTTAACGCTTGCAGTACCAAGTAGTGAATGCTGCTCATCGCCACAGGCTCCAATGTATGATGTGTACCCGGCGAAAGCGCGGATTGTGAGTGGTGCAACAGCTAGTGGAAATGCTCCATTTCACAAACATGGAATGGTACCACGACGGTAGGAGCCTTCGCGGCGCATATGTACGGCTTCGGCTTCAAGAGCAGTGGCGTGCGCCAGATGTGTGAAGAGTTGAATAGACTTCATACGCGCCTCTTGAAAGCCGCGAAAGCGAGCTCTGATCTCACAATGGGCGCGTTGGAGCGCAAGCACAATGAGCTGAAATGTGACGTTGACCATCGACCCGAGGTGGCATTTTGTCAGGCAATAAGTGCGCTCGTCACGTGTTTCCAGCAAATCATGTACGTCCATACACGCAACCACGGGAGTTTTGGTCCAAATCCACTACAAGCTCGCTGCGGTATGACTGGCTTGAAATGATTACGCGAATCAGGTTTTTGTGCTCTGTGGAGAGCTTGCTGTCGATATACGGCAACGAGCTAGGAATGCTGGGTGATACTGAGACAGCTGTCAAAGAGCTGGGTCGAGTGCTCATTGAACTGCGGTCTATGAAATCCCCGCGCGCGACGGCGTTCCGTGTCTCCATTACTTCGGGACCATCAGGCATCGTGGTCGAGCTTCCGATCATTACACGTCGTGCGAGTGAATACCTGAGCATAGCATGCATCCAGTTCCAGGCCAGGACGCAGTATCAGGGGCCATTTTTTTGCCTCTTTTGACTCCAGAGGAGAGGATGCGCGCAAAGTTTTGTTTCAGAAGCCTATTCGGGTCGTGCCGGTGCTCTTCTTGCAGGGAATGAATGAAATGCAAACGGTGGCAAACACGGTTGGCTCCGTTGCAGAAAGAGATTAATGCTGACGAGGATAAGGACGCGCTGCCGCTGCTACCGCAGTACTTTGCACGGAAGGTTATAGGCTGGCCATGAGTGACGCGATGATTCGCTTTGTGGATGGCTTGTCGTTCGTGGTGTCGCGGACAAGACTGGACCTTGCTCACTGGCACGCTGGAGCTGTTTCGTACAGTCTGCCACGGCAAATTCACTTGTGTCGGAGTCAAGTCTGAACAACGGAAGCTAGCCGAAACCGTTCTTGTCGCAATAACAATTACTGAAGAAGAGTTTCAAAGCATGTACGGAGGGGATGGAAAGTCCGATGCGGTTGACATAGGAGCCGATATGATGGTAGGCTGCTTGGATGACAGGTTAACGCTTGCAGTACCAAGTAGTGAATGCTGCTCATCGCCACAGGCTCCAATGTCTGATGTGTACCCGGCGAAAGCGCGGATTGTGAGTGGTGCAACAGCTAGTGGAAATGCTCCATTTCACAAACATGGAATGGTACCACGACGGTAGGAGCCTTCGCGGCGCATATGTACGGCTTCGGCTTCAAGAGCAGTGGCGTGCGCCAGATGTGTGAAGAGTTGAATAGACTTCATACGCGCCTCTTGAAAGCCGCGAAAGCGAGCTCTGATCTCACAATGGGCGCGTTGGAGCGCAAGTACAATGAGCTGAAATGTGACGTTGACCATCGACCCGAGGTGGCATTTTGTCAGGCAATAAGTGCGCTCGTCACGTGTTTCCAGCAAATCATGTACGTCCATACACGCAACCACGGGAGTTTTGGTCCAAATCCACTACAAGCTCGCTGCGGTATGACTGGCTTGAAATGATTACGCGAATCAGGTTTTTGTGCTCTGTGGAGAGCTTGCTGTCGATATACGGCAACGAGCTAGGAATGCTGGGTGATACTGAGACAGCTGTCAAAGAGCTGGGTCGAGTGCTCATTGAACTGCGGTCTATGAAATCCCCGCGCGCGACGGCGTTCCGTGTCTCCATTACTTCGGGACCATCAGGCATCGTGGTCGAGCTTCCGATCATTACACGTCGTGCGAGTGAATACCTGAGCATAGCATGCATCCAGTTCCAGGCCAGGACGCAGTATCAGGGGCCATTTTTTTGCCTCTTTTGACTCCAGAGGAGAGGATGCGCGCAAAGTTTTGTTTCAGAAGCCTATTCGGGTCGTGCCGGTGCTCTTCTTGCAGGGAATGAATGAAATGCAAACGGTGGCAAACACGGTTGGCTCCGTTGCAGAAAGAGATTAATGCTGACGAGGATAAGGACGCGCTGCCGCTGCTACCGCAGTAATTTGCACGGAAGGTTATAGGCTGGCCATGAGTGACGCGATGATTCGCTTTGTGGATGGCTTGTCGTTCGTGGTGTCGCGGACAAGACTGGACCTTGCTCACTGGCACGCTGGAGCTGTTTCGTACAGTCTGCCACGGCAAATTCACTTGTGTCGGAGTCAAGTCTGAACAACGGAAGCTAGCCGAAACCGTTCTTGTCGCAATAACAATTACTGAAGAAGAGTTTCAAAGCATGTACGGAGGGGATGGAAAGTCCGATGCGGTTGACATAGGAGCCGATATGATGGTAGGCTGCTTGGATGACAGGTTAACGCTTGCAGTACCAAGTAGTGAATGCTGCTCATCGCCACAGGCTCCAATGTCTGATGTGTACCCGGCGAAAGCGCGGATTGTGAGTGGTGCAACAGCTAGTGGAAATGCTCCATTTCACAAACATGGAATGGTACCACGACGGTAGGAGCCTTCGCGGCGCATATGTACGGCTTCGGCTTCAAGAGCAGTGGCGTGCGCCAGATGTGTGAAGAGTTGAATAGACTTCATACGCGCCTCTTGAAAGCCGCGAAAGCGAGCTCTGATCTCACAATGGGCGCGTTGGGGCGCAAGTACAATGAGCTGAAATGTGACGTTGACCATCGACCCGAGGTGGCATTTTGTCAGGCAATAAGTGCGCTCGTCACGTGTTTCCAGCAAATCATGTACGTCCATACACGCAACCACGGGAGTTTTGGTCCAAATCCACTACAAGCTCGCTGCGGTATGACTGGCTTGAAATGATTACGCGAATCAGGTTTTTGTGCTCTGTGGAGAGCTTGCTGTCGATATACGGCAACGAGCTAGGAATGCTGGGTGATACTGAGACAGCTGTCAAAGAGCTGGGTCGAGTGCTCATTGAACTGCGGTCTATGAAATCCCCGCGCGCGACGGCGTTCCGTGTCTCCATTACTTCGGGACCATCAGGCATCGTGGTCGAGCTTCCGATCATTACACGTCGTGCGAGTGAATACCTGAGCATAGCATGCATCCAGTTCCAGGCCAGGACGCAGTATCAGGGGCCATTTTTTTTGCCTCTTTTGACTCCAGAGGAGAGGATGCGCGCAAAGTTTTGTTTCAGAAGCCTATTCGGGTCGTGCCGGTGCTCTTCTTGCAGGGAATGAATGAAATGCAAACGGTGGCAAACACGGTTGGCTCCGTTGCAGAAAGAGATTAATGCTGACGAGGATAGGGACGCGCTGCCGCTGCTACCGCAGTACTTTGCACGGAAGGTTATAGGCTGGCCATGAGTGACGCGATGATTCGCTTTGTGGATGGCTTGTCGTTCGTGGTGTCGCGGACAAGACTGGACCTTGCTCACTGGCACGCTGGAGCTGTTTCGTACAGTCTGCCACGGCAAATTCACTTGTGTCGGAGTCAAGTCTGAACAACGGAAGCTAGCCGAAACCGTTGTCGCAATAACAATTACTGAAGAAGAGTTTCAAAGCATGTACGAAGGGGATGGAAAGTCCGATGCGGTTGACATAGGAGCCGATATGATGGTAGGCTGCTTGGATGACAGGTTAACGCTTGCAGTACCAAGTAGTGAATGCTGCTCATCGCCACAGGCTCCAATGTCTGATGTGTACCCGGCGAAAGCGCGGATTGTGAGTGGTGCAACAGCTAGTGGAAATGCTCCATTTCACAAACATGGAATGGTACCACGACGGTAGGAGCCTTCGCGGCGCATATGTACGGCTTCGGCTTCAAGAGCAGTGGCGTGCGCCAGATGTGTGAAGAGTTGAATAGACTTCATACGCGCCTCTTGAAAGCCGCGAAAGCGAGCTCTGATCTCACAATGGGCGCGTTGGGGCGCAAGTACAATGAGCTGAAATGTGACGTTGACCATCGACCCGAGGTGGCATTTTGTCAGGCAATAAGTGCGCTCGTCACGTGTTTCCAGCAAATCATGTACGTCCATACACGCAACCACGGGAGTTTTGGTCCAAATCCACTACAAGCTCGCTGCGGTATGACTGGCTTGAAATGATTACGCGAATCAGGTTTTTGTGCTCTGTGGAGAGCTTGCTGTCGATATACGGCAACGAGCTAGGAATGCTGGGTGATACTGAGACAGCTGTCAAAGAGCTGGGTCGAGTGCTCATTGAACTGCGGTCTATGAAATCCCCGCGCGCGACGGCGTTCCGTGTCTCCATTACTTCGGGACCATCAGGCATCGTGGTCGAGCTTCCGATCATTACACGTCGTGCGAGTGAATACCTGAGCATAGCATGCATCCAGTTCCAGGCCAGGACGCAGTATCAGGGGCCATTTTTTTGCCTCTTTTGACTCCAGAGGAGAGGATGCGCGCAAAGTTTTGTTTCAGAAGCCTATTCGGGTCGTGCCGGTGCTCTTCTTGCAGGGAATGAATGAAATGCAAACGGTGGCAAACACGGTTGGCTTCGTTGCAGAAAGAGATTAATGCTGACGAGGATAAGGACGCGCTGCCGCTGCTACCGCAGTACTTTGCACGGAATGTAATCGGCTGGCCATGAGTGACGCGATGATTCGCTTTGTGGATGGCTTGTCGTTCGTGGTGTCGCGGACAAGACTGGACCTTGCTCACTGGCACGCTGGAGCTGTTTCGTACAGTCTGTCACGGCAAATTCACTTGTGTCGGAGTCAAGTCTGAACAACGGAAGCTAGCCGAAACCGTTGTCGCAATAACAATTACTGAAGAAGAGTTTCAAAGCATGTACGGAGGGGATGGAAAGTCCGATGCGGTTGACATAGGAGCCGATGTGATGGTAGGCTGCTTGGATGACAGGTTGACGCTTGCAGTACCAAGTAGTGAATGCTGCTCATCGCCACAGGCTCCAATGTCTGATGTGTACCCGGCGAAAGCGCGGATTGTGAGTGGTGCAACAGCTAGTGGAAATGCTCCATTTCACAAACATGGAATGGTACCACGACGGTAGGAGCCTTCGCGGCGCATATGTACGGCTTCGGCTTCAAGAGCAGTGGCGTGCGCCAGATGTGTGAAGAGTTGAATAGACTTCATACGCGCCTCTTGAAAGCCGCGAAAGCGAGCTCTGATCTCACAATGGGCGCGTTGGGGCGCAAGTACAATGAGCTGAAATGTGACGTTGACCATCGACCCGAGGTGGCATTTTGTCAGGCAATAAGTGCGCTCGTCACGTGTTTCCAGCAAATCATGTACGTCCATACACGCAACCACGGGAGTTTTGGTCCAAATCCACTACAAGCTCGCTGCGGTATGACTGGCTTGAAATGATTACGCGAATCAGGTTCTTGTGCTCTGTGGAGAGCTTGCTGTCGATATACGGCAACGAGCTAGGAATGCTGGGTGATACTGAGACAGCTGTCAAAGAGCTGGGTCGAGTGCTCATTGAACTGCGGTCTATGAAATCCCCGCGCGCGACGGCGTTCCGTGTCTCCATTACTTCGGGACCATCAGGCATCGTGGTCGAGCTTCCGATCATTACACGTCGTGCGAGTGAATACCTGAGCATAGCATGCATCCAGTTCCAGGCCAGGACGCAGTATCAGGGGCCATTTTTTTTGCCTCTTTTGACTCCAGAGGAGAGGATGCGCGCAAAGTTTTGTTTCAGAAGCCTATTCGGGTCGTGCCGGTGCTCTTCTTGCAGGGAATGAATGAAATGCAAACGGTGGCAAACACGGTTGGCTCCGTTGCAGAAAGATATTAATGCTGACGAGGATAAGGACGCGCTGCCGCTGCTACCGCAGTACTTTGCACGGAATGTAATCGGCTGGCCATGAGTGACGCGATGATTCGCTTTGTGGATGGCTTGTCGTTCGTGGTGTCGCGGACAAGACTGGACCTTGCTCACTGGCACGCTGGAGCTGTTTCGTACAGTCTGCCACGGCAAATTCACTTGTGTCGGAGTCAAGTCTGAACAACGGAAGCTAGCCGAAACCGTTGTCGCAATAACAATTACTGAAGAAGAGTTTCAAAGCATGTACGGAGGGGATGGAAAGTCCGATGCGGTTGACATAGGAGCCGATATGATGGTAGGCTGCTTGGATGACAGGTTAACGCTTGCAGTACCAAGTAGTGAATGCTGCTCATCGCCACAGGCTCCAATGTCTGATGTGTACCCGGCGAAAGCGCGGATTGTGAGTGGTGCAACAGCTAGTGGAAATGCTCCATTTCACAAACATGGAATGGTACCACGACGGTAGGAGCCTTCGCGGCGCATATGTACGGCTTCGGCTTCAAGAGCAGTGGCGTGCGCCAGATGTGTGAAGAGTTGAATAGACTTCATACGCGCCTCTTGAAAGCCGCGAAAGCGAGCTCTGATCTCACAATGGGCGCGTTGGAGCGCAAGTACAATGAGCTGAAATGTGACGTTGACCATCGACTCGAGGTGGCATTTTGTCAGGCAATAAGTGCGCTCGTCACGTGTTTCCAGCAAATCATGTACGTCCATACACGCAACCACGGGAGTTTTGGTCCAAATCCACTACAAGCTCGCTGCGGTATGACTGGCTTGAAATGATTACGCGAATCAGGTTTTTGTGCTCTGTGGAGAGCTTGCTGTCGATATACGGCAACGAGCTAGGAATGCTGGGTGATACTGAGACAGCTGTCAAAGAGCTGGGTCGAGTGCTCATTGAACTGCGGTCTATGAAATCCCCGCGCGCGACGGCGTTCCGTGTCTCCATTACTTCGGGACCATCAGGCATCGTGGTCGAGCTTCCGATCATTACACGTCGTGCGAGTGAATACCTGAGCATAGCATGCATCCAGTTCCAGGCCAGGACGCAGTATCAGGGGCCATTTTTTTTGCCTCTTTTGACTCCAGAGGAGAGGATGCGCGCAAAGTTTTGTTTCAGAAGCCTATTCGGGTCGTGCCGGTGCTCTTCTTGCAGGGAATGAATGAAATGCAAACGGTGGCAAACACGGTTGGCTCCGTTGCAGAAAGAGATTAATGCTGACGAGGATAAGGACGCGCAGCCGCTGCTACCGCAGTACTTTGCACGGAATGTAATCGGCTGGCTATGAGTGACGCGATGATTCGCTTTGTGGATGGCTTGTCGTTCGTGGTGTCGCGGACAAGACTGGACCTTGCTCACTGGCACGCTGGAGCTGTTTCGTACAGTCTGCCACGGCAAATTCACTTGTGTCGGAGTCAAGTCTGAACAACGGAAGCTAGCCGAAACCGTTTGTCGCAATAACAATTACTGAAGAAGAGTTTCAAAGCATGTACGGAGGGGATGGAAAGTCCGATGCGGTTGACATAGGAGCCGATATGATGGTAGGCTGCTTGGATGACAGGTTAACGCTTGCAGTACCAAGTAGTGAATGCTGCTCATCGCCACAGGCTCCAATGTCTGATGTGTACCCGGCGAAAGCGCGGATTGTGAGTGGTGCAACAGCTAGTGGAAATGCTCCATTTCACAAACATGGAATGGTACCACGACGGTAGGAGCCTTCGCGGCGCATATGTACGGCTTCGGCTTCAAGAGCAGTGGCGTGCGCCAGATGTGTGAAGAGTTGAATAGACTTCATACGCGCATCTTGAAAGCCGCGAAAGCGAGCTCTGATCTCACAATGGGCGCGTTGGGGCGCAAGTACAATGAGCTGAAATGTGACGTTGACCATCGACCCGAGGTGGCATTTTGTCAGGCAATAAGTGCGCTCGTCACGTGTTTCCAGCAAATCATGTACGTCCATACACGCAACCACGGGAGTTTTGGTCCAAATCCACTACAAGTTTGCTGCGGTATGACTGGCTTGAAATGATTACGCGAATCAGGTTTTTGTGCTCTGTGGAGAGCTTGCTGTCGATATACGGCAACGAGCTAGGAATGCTGGGTGATACTGAGACAGCTGTCAAAGAGCTGGGTCGAGTGCTCATTGAACTGCGGTCTATGAAATCCCCGCGCGCGACGGCGTTCCGTGTCTCCATTACTTCGGAACCATCAGGCATCGTGGTCGAGCTTCCGATCATTACACGTCGTGCGAGTGAATACCTGAGCATAGCATGCATCCAGTTCCAGGCCAGGACGCAGTATCAGGGGCCATTTTTTTTTGCCTCTTTTGACTCCAGAGGAGAGGATGCGCGCAAAGTTTTGTTTCAGAAGCCTATTCGGGTCGTGCCGGTGTTCTTCTTGCAGGGAATGAATGAAATGCAAACGGTGGCAAACACGGTTGGCTCCGTTGCAGAAAGAGATTAATGCTGACGAGGATAGGGACGCGCCGCCGCTGCTACCGCAGTACTTTGCACGGAATGTAATCGGCTGGCCATGAGTGACGCGATGATTCGCTTTGTGGATGGCTTGTCGTTCGTGTTGTCGCGGACAAGACTGGACCTTGCTCACTGGCACGCTGGAGCTGTTTCGTACAGTCTGCCACGGCAAATTCACTTGTGTCGGAGTCAAGTCTGAACAACGGAAGCTAGCCGAAACCGTTGTCGCAATAACAATTACTGAAGAAGAGTTTCAAAGCATGTACGGAGGGGATGGAAAGTCCGATGCGATTGACATAGGAGCCGATATGATGGTAGGCTGCTTGGATGACAAGTTAACTCTTGCATTTATTATTTAGCTACTTCATTGACCGAGTAATGGTTGGTCAAATGAGAATTTTTTAAAGCGATTCTGGAATAAGTTGTGCTTGTAGCGATTCTTTTATATGAACATCGTGACAATGACATTAAAAAATACTATATTCGAAATCGACTTCAAGCCAGCCGCAAAGGTCTTCCAAGAGGTACATCAATCGTCGTAATACCTGTTCAATTTACTAACCAGACCAACGCGTAATTGGATGATGGTAGTGGCTCGACGTGGCATCTGATAAGAGACAGAATGAGATTTTCTCGATAGGGTTTCACCAATAGGCAGTCTGCATCCACTAGGCACAACAAATGACTTCGTTTTGATTTAAATGGAGATCGACCGCAGTATTGACGCCCACTCCTCCTCTTCGTCGTGCACGATGCAGTCAACTGGATGGTTTAAGCCGATCAACATTGAAGCAGTGATCACCGGCATCAACGAAGATGGCTCACTGAGCGCTACAAGCTCCGTCACTTGCGTCACTAACGTTGTTTTATTTAAACATCTAAGTCGTTAAATACCGCTATCAACAAGGTGCTTGTCGAATACTTTTCCACTCACGGACACAGTGATGAATACAACTCATATTAATGGTCTTGTTGATTCAAATGGGGACGCAAGCCGTGGCAAGCAACAAGACTTACATCCACGAGACGATCGGCTGCCTCATGTCCGTTTCAGCTGGAGTGCAGGCACTGTTAGGCCACAAGAGCATTTCTGAGATGATACATTGCGGTTGATTATAGGGATCGCCTTCTGTGCGTTTTCTAGCCACTATTATGATTGATTGCTATAGGTTGGTGCGTATAAAGACTGATCAGGTGGAGCCTCATTTATGAGCATGACTACGTTCGGTGAGATAGGTCACCTGCCCAACTCGAACGACGTGCCTCACTGCGACTCGCTTATGTTTGGCGCCATTATCTTCCTGAAGATCCAAAGAAACATGTATCTCCACTTTTGAAGTCGCGAGAATATCTATCTGATGATCGATAAAAAGCTCAATCATTTGTCCATAACGTCCAGTATTTGACTTTCTTCGTCGTCTCTCCATCTTCTTGTATTTGTTTCAATCACTCCACGCAGACAGTAAGTATATTATCTTCCAATGACAAGACAGGAAACTGTAGCAGACCCTCAATTTTCATTTTTGTCCCAATATCGCACGACGCGCCAAGTCTTCATATCCACCGGCGGCGACTCCATCGTAGTAGGGGCCACAGCCACGGACGCAGTTCTCGTTACTCCTCCCATCGCCATGCACATCGCGGCTGCTCTCGATCCTACTCATTATCGTCGCACTCTTCGTCCAGAAGCACGTCCCGCTACAGATCGCACTCTCGTTATAGTCGTCGCACTCTTCGTCCAAAAGAGCTTCCCGCTCCGGATCACGCTCTCATAATGTCGTCGTACTCTTCGTCCAGCAGCGCGTCCCACTCCAGATCGCGATTTCGTGATCTTTGTCGCTCGTTCAAGTCGCCAGATAAACGCCGCAAGAAACAGTCCAAGACTGATCAGCGCTTTCCACGATCGCGCTCTGCTTCGCGCAGTCGATCTCTAAATCGACCAAGTGGCAGCTTATATTAGGAGAAAAAGGATAGCGGAAGAGACACAAGATTTCCTGGAAGAGTAGCAGACGGAGCATATGTAGAAGTGAGACGAGGGTGAAGAAGGTGTATTGAAACATATTCGAGTCGGAAAAAAGGCGAAGAGCGTATGAAGACAATCAATTAACGGGATCGTGTGTAGACGTGAAGCCTTTTGATTAAAGTACTGCTACAGTGGTAGCATCCGATACGCTTGCTGATAGCCGAGATGCTGATGGTTACGGCCAGCGCGTTTGTTCTATCTCACTGGAGAAGAAGGACGTTGCAGATTATGCAACTGCTACGCAGGTGACGAGTAGAGGTGTTACACTAAATAAGTTTAATGTTCAGCGGCATCTCGTTAAAGTATGTCAATCCAAAAACGCAGAAGAGTCACGGTACTATGCAGAAACCTGCGATTCTCTAAAGTAGGTTGAACGAGGGCAGTGACGACGACAATCCTGGGGATAATAATATTGTAACTGAAGTGACAAGTGAAGCGCCGCAGGAGGAAAAAAACAAGCAAAAAATAATAGCGAGCAAATTTTCTAGCGGAAATAGATGCGGTACCGAAAAAGTAGGCATTGTGCCTAATAGAAGACGAAGAGAAAGGTAAAACGCTGGAATAGCAAAAAAGACCTTTAGAAGTAGAAGCTCAGCAGCGTGAGCGCGTTCAAAAGGTTGTCCAAGAAATTGAACCGCTGGATGCCTATAAGGCTGGTCTCGTCGATGGGGCAGCTCTATATAAGTTCATAGTCTCGTCGCGCTTCATGTCATATAAGATTAAATTCTTAAAGGTATCAATAACATCACCATTGCCCTCACAGATGATAAAAACGGGGTGATTTACTGGGGTAGTGGTGCGGTCGGCTAACCTTTATGGTGGTAAATGCCGGTTCAACCTCCTCAATGTGTAAAAAATATACCTGATGGTGATAATCGTAGAGCGGTTTCCACAGTAGCTGAAAATCTACCACTACCTCTTACAAACCATGTTTGAAATATACCGTCTATAGTGGGTCGTTCTCGTACCCGAAAATGTCTAACACAACCAATCACAGATGATAATAACTGGGCGCAAAGCATGTGAGAGTACTCCAGCATATGTACTGTCTCTCCTCTCGCTTCATGTTTCATAAACTTCCTGAGACGCATCCAATTCTGGGGCGCTCGCGCGACCGATGTTGACCAGAACACGTTGTAGTAGTAAATCATTCGCAAATCTATAATAAATTGGCGGCATCAGTTTAGCGATGATTAAGGTCTGACCTGCAAAGCTGTTCAATGTCGTGGTAACGTTCACAACAGCCATAGTCCCACGTTCGATCGCCTCCTTCCGAAAATCGATTTGCATAGTCTCAGCTTCATATCGCTAAGCAGTACAATTTTTTTAGTTTACCTGAAGTAGCCACCACAACTTGGACCCCGCAATGGAGAATAAAATTCGATTGATGCCGCTTATTCTCTTTGACAATGCTGCTTAAAAATCGATATATTACCCTAAACAAGTAGATGGTAAAGTGCCTCAGTACATCAGAAGCCTGCTTCAATATTCGCGTGACGGGTTTTTGATCAAAGGAAACGGAACTTCGTGACCAACAAATGAAGTCCTTGTCTTTCTTCTATTTCTAGCATCATTTATGGCAGATTAAATATCGTGGTTTCCCAATAACCTGCAAATACAATGCAAATTATGTCGCGTCCTTGTAGAATACACGGTTTGGATCGTAGTAGAATCAGCGTTAGCCGTCGCGTCCTCAAAAATTACACGGTATGGATCGTAGGTGAATCAGCGTTATCCGCACGATATTCTTGGACTTAGACAAAATCAGGGTTAACGGACAAAATCCAATAAATCTAAAAAATTGACGGGGGCGCCACGTCTTCGCTAACTATGATATGCCTTTCCCTGATACTGAAAACTTTCTCGTGTTTTATCTGAATACATTTGTTTACGGCAAGTTTGAAACGTTGTGACCTGACCGACCGCGATTTCTGCATTGACGCCTTTTTAGGGATTTAGCGCGACCTTTGCATGCTCGAAGAGCGACAGATCTCGCTCCGTGGTTTCAAAACGATGATTTAAGGCATCAACAGGTCTACCACGACTCTTTATCCGCTCAGTATCACGCACGTCATCGGATAGCGCCAGAACATGTTCGACGATATCTCTTATTCGGTTCCCGGCGACATTGGAGTGCTCTGTATACACCTTCTTCCATGTTTTTGGCAAGTCTACCACATAGTGTGGATTGACTAGCTTGGGCGGCTACAGCAGTCACCGATGCTTGTCGAAATTATCAAGAGATAGCTATATGCGTCTAGCGGAGAAGAAATGTCGGCAGGGGTATTCCATTGCCGACGTTAACAAGCATGTAAACACGTTTAGTGAATATGAGCTGCACATACTGCGCTATAATGTAAAATCTCTTATAAGTACATTGGCAAACAATGAAGGCTCCATTGTCATCGACATCATTATGTTGGTTGATATTGTTGTTGGACGCAGATGCCGAAGTCGGTAAATCTAAGTTACCTAAAACTACTCTCTGTTATCATCCTTCACTTTAATGTCCTTCTTGAATCGTCTGCTTACCAACCATAACATTTCATCCAATTAGGTGCCGTATCTGAGATTCAGGGTAATTGTTTACACGGTCCGAACCGTGCAGGAGCGGGGCACATTTCAACACTCCCACTCACCGCTACGGCACGGTGACCTATCTTGATGTCGTTCCCGTCGCGTAGGAACTTAAGCGTCTTGGTCCCGAGTGACTCGGTTAGAATGTCAGATAGTTGATTCCTGGTGTCAATGTACTTGATTGTGATCGTCCCGCGCTCCACATTCACTCAAATGAAGTGATGACAACTATCCACGTTCTTCGTTCGGGCATGGTAGCCAGCGTTCTGCGCCAGAGCGATCGCGACCTGGTTGTCTTCCCAGATTTTCGTAGCTCTCTGGTGAAATCCTTCCCATGTATGCTAGCATTGCACGTGTCCACAGCACTATTTTAACGCACTGGCTCAAAG